TTGAGGATCTTCTAGAGGCTCTGCCTGTATATACTATCAATGATGATGACAAAACCTTGTCGAAACGTTGTACATTTGCTGTCATGTTAAACTTATATTAAAGTTTTTCTTCATTACCAATTTAAGCCATCTCCAGCCATTATTAGTCTCAAAGTGGGTTCCTCATCATCGAATTAGTAATAGTATATTTTTTGGTTGGGCTATGTGCTTAAAAATACTTATGCCAGTTATGGTGCAGTTAAGTATGGTGAGACCTGATCTTTTCAAATGTACCCAACTTGTCTTTAGTCTTAGACTTTCTGAGGTCTGGTATTAGTAGTGATACTACTACTAATCCTATAGCCCTAATATTTGGGCTAATACTAGCATCATTAATGCTAATAGATTCAGTAGTAAATGTTTGAGTATTGGCAATGTTACAACTTACAGATTTGGAAAAGGAAAAAATGCTATGTTGATTTTCATTGTTCTTTTGGGTAGCTCTACTGTTACTGTTAGGGCTGATAAGTATTTTAGCCCTACACATGCCCTCTTCATATTTGTGCTATGGTCCATTGCAAATACAATTTCCTTAAATATTTCAAGTAATAATAAAATAAATTAAAACATCCATAACAGAAATGTACACTTACAAATATGAGTTGGCTATGTTTATGTGAAAAAACAAGTTTGAAACACTTGAACCCAATACTGTATACTATACTATCTGACATGCAGCCCTGACATAACATACACCTTGAAATAATATTTCAAAACAACTTGTACCAATACTACACTACTAGATATGTGCAAAAAATGTCACAAAATCTACACGAAATTATTGGTGGAAAAAACACTGTATAGTATTGTAAAGTTCTGATGACCTATTGAGGAGATATTTATAATACCATTTGGAGGAACAGTCCAAGCTATCCCTACATAGGGAGTGCTACCAACCGCCTGATTATTAGTGGTTGCAAAATAACAAAGTACACGTTATATAATATAATAAACAGACTGCAATGTTTTAACTGATTATCTATTGCCCTATGGGTTATGCCTAACTCCCATCTTACTTGTACAATAACTTCAAACATTATTACCTCATTTTTCATAAAACAGAAATGGTGTTCAATGTTCCTAATTTACATTTAACTTTGTACTTTACCTTATAAAAGCAGGTACTCTGTTTGAAACTATGTCACTTCAGTGAAATTGGTTGACACCATTTTTATGGTTTTTCAGTTATCATGTGATAAAAAAGAAGCATAAAACAAGAAATTCAAACATTTTGCTATGATATTTACAGACATTCCCAAAACTTGTGACTCAGTTATTACATATATATTGTTATAAAAAGTATTATTAACTAGTGGTAATTTAACAAAAATCATAATCCTGGTGTAAATGATGTTATCATTACCCCTTGAAGTTAGCTTTCTTACAGAAATTTGGTTTCCTCTAAAAACCTTAAGTACAGGTTGAAACAGGAATTACCAGCCAATAATAATATTTATAACCAAGTTCTGAATACAACCTTCCTATGTGTATTGAAACACTGTATTAAAAAAGCAAACAAGAAAAAACTATTCAAAAAAAGTAAGTAAATATAGAGATGATTAATATAAATCCTTCAAAAACAATGCAAACAAGATAGTAGGGATGGCACTTACATCATCCCTACATAATAGCACAGGCAAGAATTAACATATAGTAATATATATATATAACTATTCAATCACAGTTGAATTTAATTTATCCTATTTTTATTATTATGTAGAAATGATGTAAATGTCATCCTTACTATATTGTTTGCACTGTTTTTGAAGGATTCAAACTGAATATTTCTCTTTCATTAATTTAGACAGATTGTAAGTTTTTGTAAAGTTTATCCTAAAAAAATGGAGTTTAAAGTACTAAATCTTGTTTTATTCTTTGGATATCAGTCTTTTAGTTTAAGTAGAGCATGTATGTAAGAGAGAGGGGTTGTCTCAGCATTGAATTATCTGTTTTATGTTCAGTAGCTTTTTCCTTATTATTGGAACTACTTTGATTATATTTCAATACAGTATTATTATACATTGAAAACCATTGATATTCATTTATATATATATGTGTGTGTTTGCTTGACCATATACATTGTTCCTAAGTAGTTGAAGAATAACCTGTCATGGCTAATGTTATACTTCCACTAGCCATTGTTCAGGAGGAATATATAATGGTATCACATTTTTCTAGAAACAAGGAATCGGTTACAGTGCATGAAGCAAACAATTAGTTTCTGTCTTTTGTAAGTAATATTATATTCCATTCTTTTGATGGACTTCATAGATTGAAGTTACATAATTCATATACCTAACACTAAAATATTTACAGTTTTAGAATGTGTATTTTGATGTACCTGTTTAAGATCTTCAAAAGAATGGTGGCTTTAGATTTAAGTGAATTTAGAAATCAGAGTTGTCCTTATCACATAGTATTTGGTTGTGAACATAACTTACAAAATAAATATATTTCTATGATTTCATGTCAGGTTTTTTTAGAAAGTGAGAGTTTATTTATAAGTTTTTAAACTAAAAATGGTTTATATATTAGAATATTAGATTAGTAAAACAACTTATTTGTTTGAAATAAAGAAAAGTGTATCACTTGTTTCTCTTACAAGTTTCATATATAGTAAGAGGTTGTTTAATAATTGCTATCCATGAAGGAAATTTCATACTTCAGTTTTATCTAGTCTTTAAGGTCTAAAAAAGGCTTTCAAGGTTTTGTTAAGAACCATTTATTTTTTACTTTTAAATTGTCACAACATATACAAAACACTCAAGTTAGGAACAAGTACAGTCCGAAGAAATTTCAAAATTGTGCTCAGAACTAAATAATGCATTATTTATCGTATTAGTCACTGCAGTGTAAAGATTTTTAGCTGTGGCAAAGTGGCTCGTAGAATGGCTCCGAGTTTTTCTCACGCTCAAACTTTTAGCTCATAGCTCCGTCATCTCTTGACCAATTTGAGTTGTAGTTACAGTTTTGGACTGAAGAGGTCAAACCCTTTAGGATGTACTTGACCATGCCCAAGATCTCATAGATTAATTTACTCTAATCCTGCCTAAAAGAATTTCAAGTGCCACAGCTATTGAAGATTCCCTCTTGTTAATATTTGGATAAACAACATGAATGTACCACTACTCAGAGAATCCTTGGAGGGTGGGGTAGGGATTTACTTACCATAACAAACAGTTTGTCCAAAGAAACCTCCATAAAGATAGGGACATAAATATAAATTTTGGCAGGGTAATATTCAGCTAAAACAGTTTTATTTCTGTAACATGGTGGTTGCCCTTCAAATGTGGTAGATGCAGTAAATTTAAGGGAGGGAGTTTATGAAAAAGCTTGATAAATATTTGAATAATGAGAGCTGGATTTGAGTTTTTTATTGTTTTAGCATTTAGTTTAGTGGACAGAACTACATCTAAGGTCAAACAGGTCCTTTTTTTGTCCTTAAATTATATGTTTTGTTATAATGTTTTAACAGTCATTGAATAATGCTCAGTTTTGGTTTTTATTTTTCGAGCTAGACTTGTGTGACACTGTCAATGTCTAATGGTGTGTAATATGTTTTATTTCAGTTGGCATGTTGCTGTGGAAGTGCAGCCTGTAGTCTCTGTTGTTCAGCATGTCCATCATGCAAAAACTCTACATCTTCAAGAATTATGTATGCTATAATGCTACTACTTACAACTATTGTAGCGTGTGTGATGCTGACCCCATCAGTGAAAGATGGCTTACATAAAGTAAGTGTCTAAATTTCATGTCCTCTTAGAACATAATTTTAATTTGAGAGGAAGTGATTTTTATCTCCAAGATTAACCATACTAACATAAGCAAAACTTTTGAGGTATTATTGGGTTTACGGCCAAGAATATTATCATCAGTGAGAGTACCCAAGTGATGGAACAATGTTTTCTAATCATTCTATGTAGATACCTAAGAAAAGTATATTTAATAAACTATGCTAATGGCCAAGTAGATTTAAAGTACATGTAACTGATTTTGAAGAAATTAACAGTTATTGAAATCAAGAATGAAATTTAAAGTTTATGAATCAATGTTCTATTTTACATTTGTTATGGACTGTTGTCACTGTTTAAACCATTTAATTAACTTCTATTGATAAAACTGCCTCTCATTTTTTTTCTTTTTATTTCAGTGCCCTGTTTAATTCTAATTTTTTATTTGATTATTTTCACGAGTCATAATACTAATAAATTAAGCTTAATAACCTTGGGTTAATGAAAAATCATAATGCCGATATTTTTGATTACTGGAATAACCAGTAAAAAATAATTTTGATTAGTTGATTATTATCATGACATTTATCGATGTAATTGATACTTATAGGTAATTGATTAATTGATTAATTGCCCCGTTATGCAGTTTTTGTTATATATATAGCAACTAATTGTTAAGTATGGGGGTTGATAAAGGCATTTAAAGTAAATGGCCACAACTTAATTCTGTCAGGGACTCACTTATGACTTAACTGTGGAGATGAGATTCTAAGTAAGTTTGATGAGAAAAGGAATCTTTTTGCTTGGATAGCTTACACTTAGATAGGAAAAGGACCAGCTTGTGTGTGAAAGGACCTTGAACTCAATTTTAAGGACAGCTTTAAACTAGGGCTAGATAGTGATGAGAGCCAGGATAAGATGTAGGGAAAAGTTTATTGTAAGAAAAAAGTACAAAAAAATTTAAGGTTATTCTAAATTGTTACTGTGATAATGTTAGAAATGTGAGAACTAAAATAGATCACTTAAGAGCACTGGTCAAAATGAAGGATTTTGTTATTATGGGAATAGCTAAAACTTTTAGATGTTTTGTATTTAACTTTTATAGACAAAGAATATAAATGAGCAATGCTTTATAATTTTGTGATTGGCACCTCTCATTAGCTCAGCAATAAACTTGAAGCCTTGTGACACCAAATATTGAGATTTGATCCCTGCTTTGAGCACAGTGCAGGTGACCCAAAGATTACCTTTGCACTTAAAAAAATGAAAACAAACTTTTAATTGAATTGTCAAAAAAAAAAAATTACAAAAACTGTTTGAACTAGTATAACTAATGGTACTATTATTTGTTTTTGAAACGGTTATTTCCTTGAAAGGGGCCCGAAGGCTGACTGGAGGGGTTATCTGTTCTAACTACTCGCACCAGTATACAGTAGTGTTTTATCTGTCAGTCAATCAACGCTAAAATGACGTCACATAAGGGATGCTTAACTTTGCAATTTGTACTGTTGTGATCCCAGTAAAACATGCACATACCAGGAATCACGAGAAGAATTATGCAATTTGGAGGCTACAACACACAGCTTGACATGTTAACTTCAAAAGCAAGAAATAAAAATAATTGTTACTCTTAATTTTGGTTTTATTTACTCTTGAAACAGAACACTTTCAGGGACTCTGTGGAAGTACATCTAGTAGTACTGTATATTTGTGTTAACCCATTTGGTAATGTCTGCATGTCATCTGGTATTGGAAATATCCGTCTTCTAAGCATAATTTTAACATTCTTTTATTGACATTATATTTTGATTGGCATTTAACAATACTTAGTCAATTAAGAATTCAATATATTGTTTTTGGAGACATTTAATTCAGTGTGATTGAAACAAGTGCTTTTGTTTTAAATTAAGTGTTTGATAATTGAAATTGAATAAACGTATGAAAACAATTTGTTTTGTTTTTTTACCTGCGTGAAACAACTGAGAATAGAATGTTCTTTATTTAAGACGACAGAATAAGTATTAATACTGGTAATAAAATATTTGGCATTGTCTGCACATCTTGCCTCACAGAACAAGTTCAGTATAAAGTTAGCATCAAATTGTGATGTATGTATTCATTTTTCTCTTGGTTTGCTTATTGTTTTTTTTATTGCTATTTGATGCTTCATATAATTTTGAAGGAACTCTGTAGTAGGTGTTTATGTTTGAATTATGGGCTTCAGTACCGGTATAATTATTGATCTTAACAGTACCAATGCACTGCATGTGATTTGTGTGGCTTCTGAATCCATACAGTTGGAACTGTATCATGTTTAAGAATTTTATGATGTATGCGTGCACTAGGACTGGTTTGTACTACAGCTTGAAACTGTGTATAGTTGTACCTGTACTCACCCTAAAAACTTATTCTTTCTTTCAACTTAATCTGCCATTTTTTAAAAAACTTAATGTAGTATAATAGTACTTTAACTCTTGCTTGTAAGAATTAACATTCAGTTTTATTATTACTTTTGTTGTACTTTCAAATTGGTAAAATGTGTAATGTATAAATCTGTTATAATTCTTCTTATGCTATTCATACTGCAAAGCAAACGTAACACACTTTTTGGTTTTTAAGAATATCCAGACTTGTGATGTAATGTTATCTGTGATATTTGCCTAGACCTTTCATGTTTCAGGCCTATGATTATCTGTGATAGTTGCCTAGACCTTTCACATTTTAGGCCTACGATTATCTGTACTACTTGCCTAGACCTTTCACATTTTAGGCTTATGGTAATCTGTGACATTTGCCTAGTCCTCTCACTTTTCAGGTGTATAGGTTGAGGTTGAAACGTGCACTTGTAAGTCATTTCTTATGGTATCTTGGGGTCCTTAAGAACTTGCCTTTTTTTTTTTTTTCAAACAAATTTTCTGTTCTTCCTTCTTGGTAAAGGAGATGTATAAAAGTGGTCAGTGTAGTAGGTTTTGTCCAAATTTTAATATCAAAAATGTATTAAGACTGGCTGGTCGTCAGCCATTCTGAAATGATTAAGTTTCTGTTTTTTTGTCCCATTTTTTATTTTGAAAAATGATGATGATGTTAAATTCCAGTCTGTATGGAATTTAGGAAGATGTGAAGTTCCAATTACAGTTTTTCCTCTGCTCCTGCCATGACTTCTTATGATTTTGTGAGTGTACTGTGTATGTTGGGTGTCTTTATATTCCAGGGATAAAATTTTCTATTGATTTAGTTGAAAGAGCTTTAAGTAGTATTTACAGTAATTCTTCATAGGTAGCATAGCTTGTCAGTTTTAGCCTTTGAAATATAAACATTTGGTTTCTTAAGCAAAAATTATAATTGCTGTTTGGCTATACAAATTTGCCAGCAAAACCCAGAGTTTTTGGTAATTTTCAAAAGGAACAGTGCTCAAACATTCAATTCTTTGAATTGGACTTACACTATTAATTCTAGTTTGTGGTGAAAATAAATGAAATCATTTCTCTAATTGTAAAGTTTTGTACACTGAATTTACATTTAAGTTAGTTTTAAATTAGCAGCAGTATATGTAATTAAACTTGCAGGCAAATAATGAAAACAGCACGATTCTAGTGCACGCAATATAAACCTCTAAAATTTCAGTGCTATAGAAAAGAAATCTTACCAGTTTTCAAAGCAGAGAACTGTTTGTTGATGTATTACTATAGATTATACAAAAGAAAAGGAATATTTAATTTGAAGTGAGTGAATTGTAATGATATTTTACACTGAGTAGTTTTATGGTGTTTAAAATACAATTGAAACAAATCTCAACGTTGAATATTTATGCTGTTTTCTTTTTATAAGAATACTTTTTTATGTCGCAGTCTAGTTATTTCAATTCCCTCCAGTGATGGCTGAAGAAGTCTTATTCTGATTTATTTCTCTTTCTTCTATTTAGTGGATGTCCATATCTTATTAAAAATTAAAATGTTTTTTATTTTAAATATCAGGAATGCACCAGATCAAAAGCCCCCCATTTTTGGTTTAAAAATTTTTATTATATTTTGTGTGTATATGTTTGCTCAAGCTTTTTCTGTCGTAATTGAAACTTGTCATGTTCTCAGTATTATGTTAGAATACAAGCGTGTAGAAAATCTATTAAATTGGCATATGACACAGTACATTTTTTTATCTAGAAGTTAGTAATTTCATGTTAGTAAAAATAATGTAGATTATACATAATGTTATCCAGTAGTTGCAGACTTAAACATGTACATCTGCACATTTAAAACCTATATGTTTATATTTGATGTATAGCATAGTTAGTCTTGCATTTTGCTTTTGTTTTATTTATAATTGTGTACATAAGTATTTGAGTTTTAAGCGAAGTGGATTCTTTTCATAGGTACCTTTTTGTAGTGACAACCCTGTTTACCAACTTTCATGTCAGAATGCTGTTGGATATCTAGCAGTGTATCGGATCTGCTTTGCCATGACTCTTTTCTTCATCCTCTTTTCTGTAATAATGATTGGGGTTAAGTCATCAAAGGATCCACGGTCTGGTATACAAAATGGGTAAGAATTGTAATATAAATTATTTAAATATTTTGTAAGTATACTTTCTTTGATACAATAATTGTGATGTTTCTACAACTTGTAGTGCTTTCTCACTGAACTGTTTGGTTTACACTTAATCGTTGTTAGTAGTAGTTTGGTAATAATTAAGACATCCGGGCATATGGGAAGAAATGAGTGTGATTCATAAGCTGTTTATCGAGTTAGTTGCTAGAATCATTAGAATTCGTTTTAGTAAATGGGAAGAATTACCGTTTGTCTAAGAAACCTTTGAGTCTCAAATACTGATAGCTACTGCTGCTTATTTTCCAGAAGCACATAAAACATTTCAAGTTTGGAAGAGTTGGTAGGCTAAAATGTGTTCTGAAGTCAAGAAATTACTGATATGAACTAATGTAAAAAATCCATTAAGTAGTTTATTTTATGTAGGTGATATTGTTGTGCTTGTTAAGTTGCATATTTATACATATAAAGGTTTTCTATATCAACATGTTCAAGCTTTTTGTGTAACTCCTATGTATTTGTGCTTGTTAAGTTGCATATATATATATATATAAAGGTTTTCTATATCAACATGTTCAAGCTTTTTGTGTAACTCCTATGTATTTGTCCAGACTAGTATGTAAAATGATGCCGAGTAAAATTTGTTTATAATACATAGAAATGGTCAGTGTCATTGTTTAACAGTCTCTTTCTCTAGAACCTTCTGATTGCACTGCTTACAGTATACGAAGCATTCACAACATTGAAATATAACCTTTTTTTTCTGTTTGTTTAGGTTTTGGGCTCTAAAGTACTTGATCCTTATTGGTGGTATTGTTGGTGCTTTCTTTATCCCAGAAGCAAATACATTTGGCAGAGGTTAGTTTTCATAATTTTTATCCCAAAAGTTTATATTTCTATAAATGTTACAGCAATAGTAAAAATAACTGAAAATTTGATTAGTTGTGTAGGATGGTGCTTTATTTATCACAAGTGAAAAAGGTGAAGACAGAGTTGTAAAACAATGTTAAAATGTGTTAATTGTCATTCTACCCACCATTTTTAAAAAAATCCTGTGAGTTTTGATATCCTATTCATTAATATTTAGTGTCTGTATCCAAGGTTCAGTAGTTCACATTAATAGTGGTCTTTCCTCAGAAGGAGGTGAAGCTTCAAGATTAGAATACTCCTAGAAAGGCATGGCAAGATGAATGAAGAAGTTACGAGTACAATGATTAATTGTTTATTGTACATAGATTGTTGTAATGTATGTATGCAGTGCTGTTTTATTCTACCATACAGTGCTGTACACTGTACAGTATGTACATGAAACACAATGCATAATAAAATATCGTACATTATAATAACCTGTGAATTTAATGTTTGAATTGCACATAGACTTCTCAATGGCATCCTTCCACTTGCTAGCATATTCCGGCAACTCGGGATTTTGTTGAGCAATTGTGAATACTCTCAATTGTACTAAATATCCAACAGTGATTCCCACAGACACAACTGATGTTACTAAACTGTCATCCTCTTCCTCCTCATCTGAATAAAGAGTAGGAGTTTGGCCTCTGACATTAGCCAGCAGCTTCCTCTCACTGTCTGCCTTTATAGTTTTGTTGGTGGCAACATCGGCATCAAAGTTTGCATGCTATTCCGAGGTGACATCAAAATTCTTTACAAAGGCTACAAGATCGTTGTGAACTACAGGATTGCCTTCTTCACCATCTTCAGTCAGATCCTCTGAAAAACCACATTTAGGAAAACACTTCTGAATTGTTACAGGCCATATGCTATCTCATGCACTCTTTAACCATATGATAGCATCCAGCACATTTACCTTCTTGGCCAAGTCAGTTGCACATGTGGCTTCATCCATGGGAAACAAAACGTGTTGCATGAGCAGCTTCCTATAGTGCATTTTCATGTTCTGGATATTTCCAGCACCACATGGCTGAAGCTTGAATGTGGTGTTCGGTTGGAAAATAAACCAACTTTTCATTGTTACAGACAACATCAGGGTGGGCAGTTCAATTTTCTACAAACACTAAAATAGAGTAATCTTCAGCTCTCATTTTACTATTGGCCTTGTCGAGCTACTGCTGGAATAACTTCCTGGTCATCCATACATTCTTGTTTGATGCGTATGTCACAAGGAAGCAGAGTGGGCTAGCCCAGCCCTTGAAGCAATGAGGCTTAGCATGATGAAGTGTATCAGCATTTCTCCAACTGCAGAACATGCCAGCAAAAGCTGATCCTGTTGTTTGACTTCTTACCTTCCTTGGCCTTGTCTCCCTTAATCACCGTTGAGTGTGAGAGTAAAGCTAAATTGAAAAGACTGGTCTCATCTGCATTAAACATGTCTTTATATATATAGTGCATATAGACTTTAAACGTTTACTCCAACCATCTACGACAGCTGGGTAGCAATGTACATGTTGTGGCATTTTTGCCATCTGTCCAGACATCCGTTAGAACAACAAAAAACAACCAAGATTTTCTGCGTACATCAGTGCTCTCTTTTGAATCATCCTGCCACTGACAGGGATTTTCTTTGCCCTGGCTATAGTGAACCACTTCCAGATGATCTTATCTAGGTCTTGAGAGCCCACTGTGCTAGGCTTACTGTACTTTCTGTCTGGGCACTCCCAACTATCCACTATGGTTGAGTAGATGTTTATATAAAGAAATGATTCCATACAGTTCCATCCTCTCACAGCTGGCATGGGACCCATAGTGACTGATAGTAGAGGAGGTGAGAATGGATACCTACCTCAAGTACCTTCTCTCATAGCTGGTTTTAAGCTGTGGAGTTTGATGGTGGAAGAGGAGAGTGCACAAGGTATGGTCTGAATGAGCTCCAACCTCACTACACATATTGGCTGTTCTGCCTGTCTTTGTGACATAATTACGGCTTCTTTACCTTTTTCATCCTCCTTTTTTGGGCAAAGATTGTATGCGGATAAGAT